ATGTTGAAAGGAGGGACCAGTCCTTGGAGAAGGATATCATGCTTGGGAGGGTGGAGGGACAGCGCAGGAGAGGAAGACCCTCTGTGAGGTGGATTGATTCAGTGACTGAAGTAATCTGGGTAGGTGGTTGGAGGCAGTGAGACTGGCACAAGATAGAGCAGGGTTTAGGGCTGTTGTATATAGGGTTGCTATGAATCACAGGCGACTCAATGGCACATAACAACAACAACATCATATAATAGAATACTTTTATTAATATCTGATGGCCTAGTGATGAGGAGATGCCAACTCAAAGACACTTGGCTCACATCCACAGCTTCTCCACAGGAGAAAGATGGGCAATCTCCTCCTATGTGATTTAATGCTCTGAAAACCCATTGGAGGGTCAGCTATGAGTTGGTTCTAACTCAACAATACCTAACAACAACAACAAAGATTGAGAGCTCAGCTGGCATAGATTTACAGTGTCAAATTCTGTGAGCTATTCCATCCATTTTAAGATTATCTTTGTTGTTGTTGAGTACCATTGAGTTGGAACTGATCCATAGCTGACCCTCCAGAGGGTTTTCTGAGGCAGTTAATTGCACGGGAGGAGATTTCTCATCAGGAGCAGCTGATGGATTAGTATATAATTATAGCTCTGAGGGTATGATTTGATACTATGATGTGTGCATATTAAAATGTCATAATGATGTCCTTATGTTTTTCTTATGTTGTTATTAAGTTATATTGCTAAGAAAGGGCAAGAAAATACATGACTGTATTATTAAAGAGTCTCAGTAGAACCTTCAATAACATCAATATCCTTTGGTACTAGTTAAATTAATGCCATGTCAACATCTTCTGTTTTATTAGTTTGATGGGCTACTTCATAAAGTCAAAGATTTCTACTAAGAAAGAGTTTGGCATAAATTTCAACTAATTGTAGCTTTATTTACCTGTCATCTAGGTTTATTGGGAAACTGGTGCTCAGATCACATCTCCTCATGATAAGGAAATTCTGAAATGTATAGAAGAATGTGTGGAACCCTGGAATGGTTCCTGGAATGATAATTTAGTGGATACCAGTCCACTGAAGAAAGATCCTCTTCAGGACATTTGTAAAAGATACATGGAAGATCTGAAAAAAATCAGTTTTTACAGGTATCAAATGGCAATATAAACTTACTTCAAAATAAGTTTTTAATATAAGAAAAATTGGATGAAAATGTGTTTATTAAAATATTACAGCTAAATAGCTTTATTTGTAATAATTTAAAATTATAAATGATCAAAAGTTCATCAGCTGATAAGTAGATAAATGTGAGATACACATACACAGGACTGTTATTCAGCAATAACAGATTTAGTATATACATATACTGTAACATGAATAAACCTTGACAAAGAACCAAATATTGTATGATTCTTTTTATATTAAATATTAGTAATGGGTAAATCTACAGATAGAAAATAGATTAGTGATTGCCTAGGACTAGAGGAGGGAACTCTGGTAACTCTGGCCTAGTCGTAAGAAGCTGCACTGCAATTTCAAAGGCATGTGGTTTGAATCTACCAGATGCTCTGCAGGAGGATGAAAACCTGCTGAAGGCTCAGCTCTGCATTGGTTCTGACTCTAACAAACAATGGCAACAACAGGGCTGGAGGAGGGGGAAGACTGGGAGTGGCTTGGATTACTGAGCTGCTTCTCGGAATAATAGAAATGTTCTAAAATGAATTTTGATGAGGGCTGTATCAATCTGTGAAAGCCATAACATTATTCTCTTTATATGGGTGAATCATAGAGGATGTGAATCATCTTAGCAAAGGTTTTTTAGAAATACAGTTATGTGCATATATGCCTTTTATGTACGATCAGGAAGCTCTAGTGGTATATAGTCCATAGCGAGTTATACTACTAAACCAGACATAGTTTGAATCCACCAGTGACTCAGCAGGAAAAATATGGGCAGTCTCCTCTAGTGCAGTTTACAACCTCTTGAAAATCCACTGGAGGGTAGCTCTGAGTTGGTTCCAGCTTCAGAGCAGTGAGTGAACCAAGTTATGCAAGATAAGAAAATTTCTTTTAAAATTTTACTTTCACACAAAGCAATACTTGATAAAGAATCTTGCCCTGCTAATGTGTTTTCCCTTATTTACAAATTATCAACTGTTTGTCCTTCCAAAATGTGAAATGGACAGTTATTAGGTGCCAGTTAGTCAACTATGAGTCATAGTGACCCATTGTTACAGTCGCTCTGTCCATCCATCTCAGTCAACATTTTCCTCTTTTTCATTAACCATCTTGACTTTTCTCAGCATGATGTCTTTTTTCCAAGGACTGGCCCCTCCCCTCCTGACGACAAGCCCCAAATATGTGAGATGAAGTTTCACCATCCTTGCTGCTAAGGAGCACCCTGGTTGCACTTCCTCCAGGACAGATTTGTTTGTTCTTTTGGTTAAGTGCAGATGTTGTTTGTGTGTATCATCAAGTCAGAGCCAACTCATAGCCAACCCTTCAGTGGGTTTTCAGAAGCAGTTAATTGCATGAGGATGGTTTGCCCATCTTTTTCTTGTGGAGCAACTGGTGGGTTTGAACCGTGTGCCCTTGGATTAGCAACATAACTCCTTACCATTTGGCCAGTAGAGCTAATAGTTACAGTAAATTAAACATTTTGTTATCTTTTCTATCTGTGCATACTTACAAATAAACACTTCTATCTGAGGCACCTTAACTCTGAAGTTTCACAAAAATGTTATCATTCTGTTATGACAATACAAAATTGCTGTAGACCTATTGTTTGTAGCACTGATTCAGGCACTAAACATTTAGCACAGAACAGATGAAGTCCCTTGCTGAAGGAGCTTACGTTTTCTCAGCAGTCAAAGAAAATAATTGCAGACTATCATTGTTTCTGTGAAGGAAATAGGATACTGTGATAGGAAATAATGGTATGAACCTGCTTGAGAGAATGGTAGGTCCCTCTGGGAAAAAGACATTTAAACAAAATCTGGAGAATGGGAACAAGTTAGTTCTGATTAGAGATGAGAAGGCTAGTAAGACAGGAAGATACCCTCTAGACAGAAGAGGCAGCAACCATAGAGGTCCTGAAATTGAAAAACAAAACAACCTTGTAAAATGACAGAAAATCAGAAAAACAAGGGTACAGTAAGTGTCAGAGTGGAGGGTAAAAAGCTAGAGCGGGTGAGGCAGCGCTAGATCAAGCCATGGAAGGAAATTTTTATTCCATTCCAAATGCATTGGGGAGCTATTGAAGAACTTTAGGTGTGGCACTTTCCGTTGTACTTTATAAAAAGCTCATTATGGTATTGTGCTTGATTGGAGGAATGAGTAGAAGATTGATGTTTTGTTGTTGATTGCCTTCAAGCTGAGCACAATTCATAGCGACCCTATGAACAAAAGGCCTAAAGCCCCTCTACAACTACTGACATTTATCAAAATTCATAGTTTCTGAAGGCATGTTGTTTAGGAAGTGGATGCCACTCCTGCTTCCAAAGAAGATTAATAGGTGGTGCAAATGGTTAATATGATCAGCTGCTAGCTGAAGAGGTTTGACTTCACCTAAAAGTGTGTCCAAAGAAAGATCTGAGTCTCTGCCTCCCAAAAAAATAACCATTGAAAACTGGATGGTGCACAGTTCAACTTTAACACATATGAGGTTGCCACAAGTTAGAATTGATTCAGTGTTAACTAGCATTTGAGAGTTGAAGCAGGACTACTAGTTATTTAGAAAACCAGAAATATGATGGCTCAGGCTAGCATGGTGACAATGGAAATAGAAGACAGATTTGAGAGATGTTTGGAAATAGGGCTGCTAGAACTTGTGGATGAATTGAATGTGGACAGAGAGAGAAAGGAAGGACTTAAGTATGACTCCCAAGAGTCAGACTTATTACCTGGGTAAGTAGTGGTGCATTTGGAGAAAACGTGAGAGGCATAGGTTTAATGTAGACTGGGTAATAGCATTAAAAAAACATTCAGGAATTCAGTATTAGATTTTTTTCCCCTTAAACTTAAATGCATATATTGTTGATAATATGCTCATCAGAAATACCATTCAGGTTTCCGTATGAGCAGTTAAGAAGCAGTAGTGGCATAGTCTGTAGGATGTTGCACTGCTAACCAAAAGGCTGTGTCTCCATCTGTTTGAATGCACAGTCTATTCACATTAAAATGTATCACCTTGGACTCCTGATCATGATGAGTCAGAACCAACCTGACAGCAAGGACCGAGTCATATGTAAAAGTTAGTGACAGTGATTATATCCTTCAAGTTGTGCAACTATTCTCACTCTCCTTTACTGAGTTTTTCTTCATTAAAGTTAACTCATTGCTCTTAACTTTCCTATCTAATCTTGAATTGCTCTAGTCAATTTGATCCTATATAAGGAGTTCTTAAAAGAGCATAATGCTCAAGGCAGCCCTTTTTAAATTGATAAATTGTTGTTGTTATTGCTATGTGCCATTGAGTCTCTTGCAACTCATAGTGACCCTATATACAACAGCCCTATACTCTGCTCTATCCTGTGCCAATCTTACTGTCTCTGACTCACCTACCCTCATTACCCCAGTCACTAAATCAATCCATCTCATCCAAGATCTTCCTCTCTTGTGCTGTCCCTCCACCCTCCCAAGCATGACATCCTTCTCCAAGGACTGGTTCTGCCTTGAAACATGTCCAGAGTAGGTCAGACAAAGCCTCAGAATCCTTGCCTCCAAGGAGCAGCCTGGTTTCACCCTCTTAAACAAAATCATCATTCAAAGAGTCCCTGGTGGCCTATTGGTAAAGAGCTGTGCTGCCAGCCCAAAGGGACATGGTTCAAATCAACCATTGCTCCATGGGAGAAAGATGGAAAGATGGGCAGTCTCCTCTCATGGAGTTTACTGCCTCTGAAAACTCCAAATTCACTGCTTTCAAGTCAATTCCAACCAACTGTGACCTACAAGATTGCCCCCTAGGATTTACAAGGCTATAATCTTTATAGCAACAAATGACCACATCTTTCTTTCATAGGACAGCTGGTCCACATTTTTCTTCCACAGAGCAGCTAGTGGGTTTGAATCACCAATCTTTCCATTAGCAACTGAGCACTTAGCCTTGATGGTGCAGTGGTTAAATGGTAGTCTGCTAACTGAAAGTCTGAGGTTTGAATCCACCAGCCACTCCATGAGAGAAAGATTTAACAGATTGTTCCATAAAGATTTACAGCCTTGGACACCTTATGAGGCAGTTCTACTTTGCCCTATAAGGTTACTGTGAGTTAAAGTCCATTTGACAACATTGGGTTCAGTTTTACAATGACTAACATGCGCAGTGACCCTGTGAACAACAGACCCAAACCATACCCTATCCTGCATCATCCTAATGTTCTATCGTGCTCAAGCCCACTGAGCCACAATTGTAGTTTGTTGTTGTTGTTATGTGCTGTCGAGTCGCTTGCAACTCATAGCGACTGTATGTACAACAGACCTAAACCCTGTTCTGTCCTGTGCCAATTGTACTACCTCCGACACACCCAGCCTGATTACCCCAGTCACTGAATCAGTCCACCTCCTAGAGGGTCTTCCCCTCCTGCATTGTCCCTCCACCCTCCCAAGCATGATGTCTCCTTCCAAGGACCGGTTCCCTCCTTACATGTCCAAAGTATGTCAGACGAAGCTCCAGAATCCTTGCCTCCAAGGAGAAGCACGGTTTAACCTTATCCAAGATGAATCTGTTTATTTTCTTGGCAGTCCATGGTACATTCAATACTCTTCTCCAGCATCACAGCTCAGAGGCATCAATTCTCCTTCTGTCCTCCCTAGCCACTGTCTAACTTTCTGATGCATAACAAGTGATTGCAAAGACCATGGCCTGTATCAGACGCACCTTAGTCTCCAGAGTGACACCATTGCTTTTCAGTACTTTAGAGAGGTCCCTAACAGCAGACTTTCTCATTTCAATATGTCTTTTAATTTTCTGGCTGCTGGTGCCAAGAGTGTTGACCATGGAACCAAGCAGACTAAAGTTGTTAACAATTTCAATCTCTTCACCATCCATCCTGATGCTACCAGTTGGTCCAGTGGTGAGAAATTGAGCTTGTGTGAATAACAAAATGGAATTGCCTGACAGTATTAATGTCTGTTTAGGATGAAATTATACAAAGCTTTTTATGAAATTTATTCTAGCAATTAGCTGCTTTGATGTATGTAAATAGTGGTTCAGACAGGGTTGGGTTGTTTGAGCATTAAAGTAATTTACTCACTCATTGCTCTTTAAAATTTTATATTATTATTTTTGTATATGTGTATAGTCAAATCGGATCTGACTGGTACAGGAGGAGATTGCCCTTCCTTCTCCAGCAGAACATCTAATGGATTCAAACCACATACCTCTGAGATTGCAGTGCAACTTCTTGTCACTAGACCACCAGAGCTCCCTATCACTCATTGCTCTTGAGTAGGAACCCACTCCTAGCTAATCCTCCATTAGATGTCCAAGGCTATAAATTGTACGGGAAGACGTTGCCCATCTTTCTCCCTGAAAACCACTGGTGAATTTTAACTGTCAGAGAGGCAGAGAGAGCCTCTGAAGCTAGCAGAGCAACTCCCTATGGATCAAGCCAATAGAGCCCCCTCATTAAAGTAACTGACATAATCTATGAAAAGGTCATTGCAGTTACATACCTTGGGATCTAAGCTACAAATAAAGGAATTAAAGGAAAGGCCGGGCCTGCTAGAGAGTAACAACTAGATAGGAGGGTTTTTGGTAGTACAGTAAGAAATTTGGTAACTTGCTTAGGGTAACAGAAGCATATCAAAAGAAGCTATCCAGGCTGAGGAGCTGAACCACCCACAAAACAAGATGTAATTGAGTAAAAATCTTTTTGATCTTTTATATTTCAATCTGGCTTTTGTGTTTTAAACATCTTCAGCCTCTGCTAAAGGCTTTAACACTTGTTCTCAGAATTCAGAATTTGTCGGGTTTTCATTGTATCACAAAGAAGAAGCTGTATTGATTGAATTATGATTTTTCTTTTACAGAGAAATAAATTCAAAGACCACCTTGAAATTTGTTCATACATCTTTCCATGGAGTTGGACATGACTATGTGCAGTTGGCTTTTCAAGTATTTGGGTTTAAGCCCCCAATTCCAGTACCAGAACAAAAAGATCCTGATCCAGACTTTTCTACTGTTAAATGCCCAAATCCTGAAGAAGGAGAATCTGTGCTGGTATTTTAAATATATCTATTTAAATTATTATTCATTTGTGAAACTTTATCAAAATAGGTAGAATTGAATGGCAGTTCAAAATTACTTTTAAAAGCAAGAACCACTTTTGTTTACTTCTTTTACATTATATTAGAGCCTTTTCTTCCATTTTAGATTGCAGTCTTTATGACAGATAGTTCTATCTCTAAGCTTCTTATTTTAATTTAACTAATCTGTTCCCATCTAAAATTCATGTGACTAACCCAGTGTCTACATTTAAAAATATTAACATTGAATTTAACGTCTTTTGTGTAATCTAGCTTTTTGGGTCACTGTTTCAGGAACTTTCTCTAAGACTAGCAGAGAAAGAAAATGCCCGGATTGTCCTAGCCACAGATCCTGATGCAGACCGACTAGCAGTGGCAGAACTTCAGGAAAAGTAAATAGAATCTATTATTTGATTGAAAGTTAAACTTTTCAGTACATACTTTTATCCTATTTTACATCTTGTGGGCTCTTTGAAATAATGAAAATATAAAGCATATACATCTTCTATAAATGTCACCATCTAAGACCTAAACTGATATCTTAACATTTTCTTCTAATTATTTTTCTGATCAAATACTTAAAGATAGACTTATTTTTATAAAATTGGGATTTTTCTATATATAGTTTTGTACCCTGTACTTTTGTACTTAACATTGTATTGAACATTATCTTCCCTGTCCTTAACATATTGTTTGAAACGTATTAATTTTTAAAATAGCATAATATTCCTACATATTCATCTATAAATATATTTAATCATTATCTAATGTTTGCCTTCTTTCTTGCCATTTTAATTATGTGACAAATACCCTTACACAGAAAGACTTAAACATTTATCAGAACTCTTTTTTCTTCTTGAGTAATAATATACTAAAATGAACAATGTGCAACAATTTTTCCTAAAATATTATAGCCATTCTTGCCTTAATTCCAACAATGTGTCATTAGAAAGGTTATAGTAAAAACTCTTTTCTCAAAGGCCCTATGTATTTTTTCCCCTTTTATAAAGGCTTCTGATTTTTAGATCTTATGTAATAAATTGTAATGATAAAGATTTTAACTTAAAATTTTCATTCTACAGTGGTCATTGGAAAGTTTTCACAGGGAATGAAATGGCAGCTTTATTTGGGTGGTGGATGTTTGATTGCTGGAATAAAAATAAATCAAGAAATGCTGATGTGAAGAATGTTTATATGTTAGCCACCACAGTCTCTTCCAAAATTCTGAAGGCGATTGCACTGAAAGAAGGATTTCATTTTGAAGTAAGAACAGAATGTCTGTGTGTTCCTCTTCTTTGCATGCTTCTGTAAATTTAAGGCATCTCTCCACCAAAACTAACTTTTATTAATTTTATTTGTAATTTCACTCATGTTTTTCTAATTCTGCTCATACTTTTAATTCTCTTTGATAGTTCATATACCTCAGTTAATATATACCTTGAGACATGTAGTATACAACAATATCTGGCAGTAAGATAAAATAGCTTAAAAATTTCATTTATGCTTATATTTCCTGTAACAATATCTAGTTTTCATACTGAGGCAGTTTGGCTCCTGGTGAGTTCATTAGTAATATAGATTCTACCCAAGAAATTGTGTCACTAACCCTTGTTTAGGCCTTCCAACTGAGTTTTAAGCAACTTTAAGTATGTTCTAAGTTGTAACTTTAGATCAAATGATTCTATATCTAAAAGATCAGAATTGTCTATCTGTATCCTCTCTCTTAGCACAGATCATTAACTTTTGGGAACATCAGGCAGTTAAGTTGATCTCTAATCATTATTTTTACACTATTGAGGCTAATGTCAACTAAGTTACCATGGCTCAGTCATCTTTGCCAAATATCAGTGTCACATTGGGTGTTTTGGTTGTAGGTGTGAACATGAGCCATAGTCATGCCATAAGACTTAACACTAAGTCATTGAGCCAAAGAAAACTAAAACTGTACCTCTCTTTATGAGACAGAGCTTTCCAACCTTAGCCTTTCTAAAGCACAAATCACCAAGTAAGAGAAATTAAGAGTTTATTCAAGCCCAAGATTCGGAGTTGCAATAATGTTAGCATTTTCCTTGTTCATGCCTGTGGCAAGAAAAATGTATAATGAGCGCAGAAGAAGAAAAAAATAATCATTTTAAATATCAATCTGATAAAATTGCTTGTTTTTGTTGTGCGTAGTGGAGTTGTTCAGTTTTTGTTGTTTTGTTTTTGTTAGGAAACAGATGAATTAGTATCTTAAATTATTATAAGCTCTAGAATTAGCATGCTTCACATGCTCTTTTTATTGACTTTAAAAGAGTTCATGTCCACCACAATAAGATAAAGGTAAATAAACCAATAGAAAAATGGGCACAGGATATGAACAGACACTTCACCAAAGAAGACATTCAGATGGCTAACAGGCACATGAAGAAATGTTCAAAATCCCTAGCTCTAAGAGAGATGCAAATTAAAACAACTATGAGATATCATTTCACCCCAGGCATAGTAGCAAAATTTAACAGAAAAGCAAGCAATAAATGCTGGCGAGGTTGTGGAGAAACTGGAACCCTTATTCACTGTTGGTGGTAGTGTAAAATGGTGCAACCACTGTGGAAGGTGGTAAGCTTTCTCAAAAAGTTACAAATAGAGATACCATTTTACCCTGCAATTCCACTACTAGGAATATACCCCAAAGAGACTGTAACTGACATCCAAGCAGATATATGCACACCCATGTTCATCGTGGCTTTGTTCACAATAGCTAGGAGTTGGAAACAACCTAAGTGCCCATCAGCAAACAAATGGATAGAGAAGCTGTGGTATAGTCACAGAATGGAATACTATGCTGCATTGAAAAAGAAGGAACTCATGCAATATTATTCAGAATGGGTGACCCTGGCGGACATTATGCTGAGTGAAGTATCCCAGTCACAAAAGGACAAATACTGCATGGTGACACTGTTATAAAACAGGACTGACCTTGGGGTTGGGTAGAGACTGAGAAAGATGGGTTCAATAATGTGTACTGCATTGAAACAGATGAGGGAGGAAACTGTTTAAAAGGGATATGTGATTAGGTATTTTTATCATAACAGGAGTCTAGAGCAAAGACTACATGGTGGAGTGGACCTGGGGGAGGGTTTCTAAAACAATAAAAGAATACGTCTTTTACTTTTCCAAGAGGGGAGTGTACTGGGGGGAGGGTTGGGAGAGGAGAAAAGTCCAACAGTGAATAAATGGAAATCCTAACTCTCTGTAAATTTTTACTGAAATTAATAATAAATAAAAAAGAAGTCAAAAGAAAAAAAGTTCATGTCATTGAAGTCAGCAGTATTACATAAGATGAAAAGTCTTCAAATCTAATTTTCAAAGAGGGCCTTACTACTTTTCTTGATGATGTTATTTAGACCACTATGAGGTAAGGTATAGTTGGTTCAAACTTTTATTTCTGTGATGTTGAAAGTGTATAAAAGTTTTATAGCCTTTGATTACTCAAGGAGACTAATATAAGACAATTTCTGAGAAACAGTTTTTGAATCCTGCCTTCATCTTTTATATACAGCCCAATTTTGGGCAAATTTACTTAACCATTGAACCTCGATTTCAGCAAAGTGTTTGTGACTATAAAGAAATAATGGGCATAAATTGCCTGTTACAATGCTTGATAAATAATACCTCATTTTAATATATAAATATACCTGTGTAGCTCTTTGCATTACCATTTATAAATATTGGATTATATTTGGTTTAAGTCACTTTCTTATACACAGCAAGAAGTAGATAATGAGTATGGGTACTGTATGTATGGAGGATACTTTATGACCATATAGCTACCACTATAAAAATCAAAAGATCACTATGCAAGTGTTACGTGCATTTAATGACCAAATCATTTAACTAAAATGGACTCCTTTACATTTCAGGAAACATTACCAGGTTTTAAGTGGATTGGAAGTAGGATAAAAGACCTCCTTGAAAATGGGAAAGAAGTTCTTTTTGCATTTGAAGAGTCTATTGGTATGTAGTAAATATTAAACTCTTTGAAATTTGAGAACTTTTAAAAAAATATAATTCTATGGAGAGGAATTTCTGTCTTCTGGTTGTGTTTTTTTGAGTTGTAAACAATGACAGAGAACTCAGAAATGTATATGTGCATTTCTTATCAGAAAAAAGAATAAAAGTCCCTAGATATATTCACTCTGAAGAAATTGGCAAAAAAACAAGGCCCCAGGAATTATACCAGTTGGCATATTTCAACAAACAGATTCTACACTGGATGTGCTTATTAAGTTGTGCCTAGAAATATGGAGGCAAGCTAACTGGAAGACATCCATATTTATTCCCATTCCCATTCCAAAAAAGGGATAGAGTGTGAAAATTATAAAACAATATCACTAATATCACACGCAAGCAAAAGCTTGCTGATGATTATCCAAAAATTACTGGAACAGTACATCAGCAAAGAACTGCCAGAAGTACAGGCTGGGTTTAGAAGAAGCTGTTGCATTAAGGACATCATTGCCAACTTTAGATGGATCTCGGCTGAAAATTGGAGAGTCCCAGAAGAATATCTATCTGTGTTTCATTGACTACACAAAGGCATTTGACTGAGTGAATCAGAACAAATTATAGCTAACCTTGAAAAGAATGGAAATCCCAGAACACCTGATTGTGCTCATGCAAAACCTATACTTGGATCAGAAGGCAGTCATCAGAAGAGAGCAAGGAAACACCATATCATTCAAAATCAATAAAGGAATCCTGTAACCACAGCTTTTAAATCTATATGCAGGACACATGATTTGGGAAACTGGGTTTTACGAGGAGGAATGTGGCATCAGGATTGAAGGAAACTTTATCAACAACTTGCATTATGCAAATGACAAAACTTTGCTTGCAGAAACTGATGAGGATCTGAAGCATCTGCTGCAAAAAAGTAAAGGACTGCAGTCTTCAATATGGATTGAAGCTCAACATCAAGAAAACAAAGATTCTCACCACTGGACCAATTGGCAGCACCATGATAGATGAAGAAGATATTTAGATTGTCAGTGATCTCAGCTTGCTTGGGTCCACAGTCAACACTCTTGGAACCAGCAGCTGGGAAATAAAAAGATTAATTGTATTAGGAAAGTCTGTTGTCAGGGACCTCTCTAGAGTGCTAAAGTACAAGGATATCAGTCTAGTGACTATGGTGCACCTTATCCAGGTCATGGTCTTTGCAATACTTGCTATGCATCAGAGAGCTGAACAATGATTAAGAATGACAGAATAATTGGTGGCCTTGAGTTGTGCTGGAGAAGAGTATTGAACATACCATGGATCACCAAGAAAACAAGTCTGCTCTAGATAGGGTGAAACCAACTTGCTCTCTGGAATCAAGGATTTTGAAACTCCATCTCACCTACTTTGGGCATGTTGCCAGGAGGAACCAGTCCTTGAATAATATGGATTTACACAGTGACTGGGATAATAGGGGCAGTGTGTGAGAGAAAGTGAGATTGGCTCAGAATAGGACAGAGTTCAGGGCTATTGTGCATTGGGTGACTATAAGTCATAGGCGACTTGATGCCACATAACAACAGATATATTCACAGGGAGCTCTGGTGGCCTAGTAGTAAGGATCTGTACTGCAGTCCTGAAGATAAGTGGTTCGAAACCACCAGCTGCTCCTCAGGAGAAAGGGGGCAGACTCCTGTGCAATTAACTGCCCCTGAAAACCCGCTGGAGGGTCAGCTATGGTTCAGTTCTGATTAGATGGTGTATAACAATAGATATGTTCAGTATAGATAAGCTTCATCTAATACAGGCTTTTTAAACTCACTGGTGCTTATATAGAAATATAAATTATTAAAATTGCCAGCTTATATTTTCCTGAGGTAGTATCATTTGTTTTAATTTAAATTTTATTTATTGTGAAAAACAAGTATGGGGACACAAGGGAGTGAGGGTTGGGAGCAGAAGGGTGAGGATGGGCAGGGATGGAATTGCAGGGCTGCACAATCTGTTAGGCGCAGGTAGTAGGTGAAGGAAATGAGAAAGATCCATTGGGGACTAGAAGAGACAAGGCAATGGTAAGCATAGTCCAATGGTGATTAATTTGGGTTTTTTAAGAAAGAAATTTTTACAGAAATTGTTGCAGCCTCTCTGGTTTCTTCATGCTGAACAGGGGCATTGGTGTAAAGGGGGTATGGGGGAAGGGGAGCCCACTTTAACACCTTACTGGTGGTCCTGAGTTGAAACTGCTTGCCTTCTTGTTCTGTTAGAAGATATTTTCCTGATGTTTACTGCCCTCTGGACTTGAAAGTGTTTGCCAAGGTGGGTCCAGTGGGGATAACTGGCTGAACCCTGAGGCTCCATCCTCCTTCACTTCCTTAGCTGGCAGTTCTATTTCCCTTTTGTCTCTGGAACTGGGTTCAGGGTTCAGGTCTGGAGTAAAACTCAGTGTTAATGTTACCAGCCAGGAAATTAAAAGACATATTGCAATGGGAGAGTCTGCTGTTAGGGACCTCTCCAAAGTACTGAAGAGCAATGGTGTCTCTCTGGAGACTAAGGTGCATCTGATACAGGCCATGGTCTTTGCAATCA